CTTTTGTTGTTGCTGTTGTTGTTGTTGCGCTGAGAATATTAAATTGACTGGGAGCAAGAAAATGAGTAGAATCATTAGCGTACACTCCATGCAGCAGCCGCACAAACACCACGTCCTAGGAACAGCGCCCACATATTGCGCAAACGCTGCTGCATCTATGCCCGCTCCACCTGCTCCTGCTCGTGCTGCTTCAGCTCTTAATCCGGCTCCTGCTGCTGCTGCGGCTGCCATGTCGCCTTTTGAAGATGAAGTCATATCAGCATTAGTGTCGGCTGTCTGCTGTCTGCTGTCTGTTGGTCGCCTTCGGCTGTGGCTGGGCTGTCGGCTTTCCTGCTTTTTGGGCACATTTCTTTCTGAGCAGCCAAGACGTTAGCCAGCAACAAAGGGCGCTTGCGAGACATTTGCATTTGTGTTTTTGGGGTCAGATCTCAGATATGAGACATGTAAGCAGTTGCATATGATTGTGCAGCGCTGCCTGCCTTCGGGGGTACAACGAAGCGAATTTAATTTCAATTTAGGACCAAAACATTTGCGCTGCGCCTGTCAAGCATTTTCCATTTGCCATTTTCCATTTGCCCGTTTCCCGTTTCCCATCTCCCGCCTGCCTCCTGCCTCCTGCCGCCTCCCGCCTCCCTTCTCCCATTTTCCATTTGCATTTATTTTTGCGCTGCATGCGCAAATCTTTGCTATTTGTACAAGAGACAGCCGCTGACTAGAAAAAGCCGCGCGCATTTGAATATGCAATTTGCAATTTGACTTGACGAGGCCAAAAACCGCGAGACGAGCCGAGGCGTGGCGAGGCGAGGCGAGGCGAAGCGTGGCGCCACCAACAATTGAAGAGACCCCGCGACGAGCCCGAGTTAATCTGCGGGCTTAAGAAATGCCAGACAGTTGCCAGCGGAGAGCGTTACAGTTACAGTTCCACATAAAAGCTGCATGCGGCGACATTTTATCACAGCGCGACTTTTCTTCTTTTTTATTTTTTTTGTTAGCTTTTTGTGACCCGCTCGTCCTTTTCAGTGTCCTTGTGCCTTGGCTGACATTTCAGGCACAAGATTTATGCACTGGGTCTGCAGCTGAAGACAGCTGTCGTTTGCTGGTGCTCTCTTTTTTTTCTGTTCAGCCCTAATAGCTTTTTATCCGCGTGCATGAAATATGCCGCTAAAATGTGAAATAGAGCCGAGAGAATATGGAAAGTGTCAATCCAAGTTTTTGTCAATTGTCAGCCGCAAGTAAATTGCAATAGGCTTAAGGAGAGTGACAAAGAGGTAGGGACACAGCAGCTGGCAGATGAAAAGCGAAAGCTGAATTGGCCTCAACTTGAACGTGCAACAAACTAAGTACATCTAAGTTTTCTTGACACGCCACTGACAAGTACACTGAACACACATTCACACGAAGACTGATACGCACACACACAATTAAGTCATGATAAATTGCTATTGTATGCGTTTTCAGTCATAAACGCAGACGGCAGCCCGAAATGAAACAATAAGCCACGTCCGTCAAGTCAACTTGAGGCGACAAGAGTCGAGGCGAGTCGAGTCGAGTCGAGTCGAGTCGAGTCGAGTCAAGTTATGAACGGAAGCAGACAAGACACATATACACATATACACGCATACACACACACACGCACACACACACAAAAATAGACACACAGACAACACTTCGTCACAGTCACAGTTACAGACAATGCGACTAGACAACTCTGACGCCCAACTCTTTTGTGTGTGTGCGAGTGCTTGCGTGTGTGTGTGTGTATGCTAGAGTTGCTCTGTCATGGCCTGGGTATGGCCTGGCCTGGAACTGACGGCTTTTGGTGTAGGCAAATGTTTTGAATTCATGCGTTCTGTCAAGTAATTTACCCCAAGCGCGATCCACAGACCCGACCCAAGTGGCTGACTGCCTGGCTGCCTGGCTGAATGGCTGCTCCTCTGTGTGTACGTCCGTGTGTGCATCTGCCCGGATGAATGTGTGAAGTGTACAAATAACTGTTTTTCTACCTTTTCTCATCAACCTGCCTGGTGCAATTTGAGCAACACACAATACAGCTTTATTGGCCAATGCAAACGAGGGCTTACCAATGGCATTGGCTCGTAAAGCGCATTAATCTGTTAAAAAAGCATTGCAAATAACGCTTTGAAAAGCTTAAACTGCTAGTGGGGAAGTCAAGTGCAGTAATTAAGCTTTCATGAGCTTTTCAAATAATATTCATATTTTATTGTAAACAAAAATTATTGAAAGGTTTTAAAAAGTTTTAATGTGCCTTAAGATTAACAAATATAATATAATATACAAATAATATTTGTTATAGAAACTCTGTACTATACAAATGTATGGGCAAGTTGAAAAGAGCTTACAAGTTACTCTACCATTCATACTTAGCTTTAATGTGCTTTTAAATCTGTATATCAATTATATTCATGTAGCAATGTGAATGAATTTTTGCTTTAAAGTTATTGGTTTTTATTTTATTTTGCAAAGCTCTCAACTCAATACTTTCCATTCAGTAATTAAGGTACATTTTCAACAAGTATCATTGGCATGCTTTTGAAAAGTTTGTTCGCATAATTGCGAACGTGTGCTTACACTTGAATAGACCGGCAACTCATTAGTCTATCAAAATTATTCAATAGACCATTTGCCCCCAGTGAATTGAACCTTTTTAGCAACAATTTCACTTGCCCGGGCTCCTTGAACAATGCGATTAAAATTTTATTTAAATGAATTTTGTGCTTAGGCTTCCTTCCGGTCGCATGTCCCTAAACCATGTGTGTGTGTGAGTGTGTGCCTGAGTGTGTGTATGCGTGCTTTTGAATGTGTTTATATAGCGTATACGCAAAGGGTTGTATTTTGCAGCTGTTGTTAACTGTACAACGTGGGCGCCTTTTTGAGGCAACTAACAGGCGCTCCATTATACGTGTCCTCTGACCGTAGCCATTCGCTGCAAAGTTCCGAAAGAAATTGCCCAATGTTACCTTTCAGCTGGTTGACTCTGACTAGCTTCTGATGAGTTGCCCTTATTGAAAGGTGTTCATATGAACCGCTCGACTTGTACCTGGCCCAAGTGCACACAATTTGACTCGTATGTCCTTTTCATAAGGTACTCCTTGTGTGTGGCTGTGTGTGTGTGTGTGTGTGTGTGTGTCTGTGAGTGTTTATTGCTGGAAATTAACATTTTCACCATAGGCCACACACACACACACACACATACACATAATTTGATGCATCACCCAAAGAAAAGGTCTTAAATGTGTTCGGATTTTGATGTTGTGTTGGGGCTTGGGCATGGGCTGTGGACTTTGGGTTGGCTACGCGTCAATTAGCTGAGCACCGGATGGCTTGGCAAACGTTAAAGTTTTGCTTCACTTGACTAAGTGACTGAGTGACTGAGTACAATTGTCTTGACTGGCGCTGACATGGATACGCATTGTTGTCACGGCTTCCTGGTTGTTCGCGCCCGCCACACTCCAAGTGCCTGCCTAGTTGACTGTCTGACTGCCTGACTGGCTGCTTGTCTCCACGCTGCTTCTAATTATGCGCCTTCTGCGGGGCAACAAACCGCTGCCCATTGGAGCGCGGGGCAAGTGGGCGCTCAAGTGCCTGCAACTGTCACAGTTGCGTTGAGATTTCTGCTTCAAGCGCCAAGAAATGCGGCTGCCTATTTGTATATGTATGTGTATGTATGTGGTACGTGTCTGCAGCGTTCTCAGTGTGTGAGTGTTGCTTGCCTCAGATGTTTTTTAATTTCGCGCAAAATAAGCAATTCTCACGTATTCATCTGTGGCTTGACGTCCTGTTGTGTCTTCCAGCCTGGCTCCAAATTCAATTTCAGCAGCTGTTTGGCCCGCGTTGCCATAGGGTGGCTGCGGTGCCACCTGCACCACACAGAACACACCAAAATGCTTTGTACTTCAAAGCATCCAAATTTTGCAGTCACTTGCTTGTAGTCTCTGTATGTGTGTGTGTTCAGTTCTTATTTTGCAATGTGTCTCTGCATTCACTTTGTTCCCTTTTTTTTATTACAAAATTTGTTTTATTTTTCCACACAATCAATTGAAGTTTTATCTGCTCCCGCTGTTCTACCTACTAGGCATGTGTGTGAGCGTGTGTGATTCTTATTTTGCTGCCGTGTCTTTGATGTTCGCCGCTAAAACAGAGGTTTATATTCTTATCGCTGTCACTTGCTTATTGCGGGCATATTCGGCTGGGATCTTTGATCACACGCATGAGTATAGTGCACATAGCTTATACCAAGGTCTTTGGCAGTATTTATAAAATATTAGTTTCTCTAATGAGCTTAAGAGTTAAAAGAAGTATTCATTTTATATGTATATTTTATATTCATATAAACTTACGAAGTTTCTAAATTAAATTCATATTTTATTGTTTCCTTGCAGGTAAGTCTGGCCACTTTTATTCATGCGCACCTTGCCAAAAATATCGTGAGTACTTCTGCATTGGCATTAGCGAGCCGGCTGGCTCGCTGGCTAATTATGTCTTTATTATTATTGTATTAAAATAATTATAACTGATATTGTGGCCGAATTCAGATTCACAAATGGGCAAATCGTATTCGAAAGGAAGTCGTTAATGCCTCAGTCGTTGGCATGCCTTCGGCTCCTGGCATAGGGTTGGGTCAGCTTGAAGAGGGGATGACTGGGGGCCAGGCAATACTTTGATTTCGTGCGATAATAATTGCGTGCCCTCATGCGCCACCCGAAAAGCAAATCCGACTGCTACGTGCAACTATGCGTCATTATGAAACTCGAGTGGGTTGTGGCCGGTGGGGCGGTGTGGGTAGGTCAGCGCGGGTTGCTCAGTCGTGCGTTCAACGGCCGGACTTTATGGATTTATTGCGTTGGCGACACGTTGACATGCCGCGTGCCAGTGTCCTCAAGTCTTGAGTCCGTTTCTAAAAGGCGGCCCTGTGCCCCCGTGCGCCTAAAGGCAGACTCGAGCTCATTGTTTTATGGGTCGCTGCTGTTCAAACCTGAGCAGCTCTACGATGGGCATAAAACGGCTGCAGGTTGCACGTGGAAGGTGGCAGGCGCCAAAGGCGCTCAGCACCTACAACATTGCGGCTCACACATTTTTGTCCAATTACCGCAAGGCTTGTGCCGCACAAGTCAAGCGCTGCGGGCGGTCGCGTTGTATACGTAATTTTTATTGGACACTGCCACGCATCGCTGCGGCCGTCGTGAGCTTTACTCGCCTTACTCACTTTACTCTGTAAAGGCAAAGTCCTAGGCCAACATGAAAAGCTTTCTTCCTAACTTTGCGGCCTACGCTACGAATGCGATATCAAAACAAAACGGATAATTGCAGTGCCGCTTTCTCTCTCTCTCGCTCTCACTCTCTTCCGTACTCACTCCGGTTGCATAGTCTCCACTTTGCCACCTGTGTCGATGGGTGGGTGTGTGTGTGTGTGTGCGGCAGGTTGGGGATTTGTTGATTGCACCACTTGACACACATTCGAGAGCAGCGACTCGTAATTGTAATTGATTCATGAGCATTGCAAATTAGCGCACTCGCTGCTCAGTTCCACTTGGCTCTGGCCATTTCCAAAGCGCCTCGTAATTGATTGGATTTGACATAAGCCGGGAAATCGAATCTCAATTGAATTCGCATTGCATTCAAGTGCAGCGCAACGCATCGTGTATTTATGGAAAGAATTGTCAGTTTTGCATGCTAAGCATGCTTAACATAATTGTGTTACTTACTTTATAAATATGGATGTCAAGTTGTGTGTCGGCATTTGCTGTAGTCTCCTGCGGCAGGCACAGTTTGAGAGCCACTGCGGGCAACTCTACACACAACAGATTTTGGCGCCAAACGCGACAGGCTCTCCGCTCAAAGCACGAGCGCACAGTTCGTGTCGAATAGCCGACACGAGCGACACACTGCCGACGTGAGCCGAATGGTCGGCTGGCAGGATACACGAAGGCCACAGGCGTAAGGACAAAACAGTTTGCGACTAAGACTCGTGTGGAACGGACGCGCGGCCAATCGCAAGCGTGCTGCGTACGCGTGCGAATAGAATTACGAATACTCGACAACTCGTCCAGCATATGTGTGAGTGTCCTTAGACGACAATTGATGCAAATGAATTGTGACCCGGCTCGGACCCCACTAACACTGATTGGTGCTCCGTGCGTGTCACAGGCAATGCCCAACTTCAACTCAAAGAGCCGTGTGCGTGTCAAAGTCCAAGAAGCGAACGTAAACCTAAGCGTAAAAGAAAACGTGAACGTGAACGTGAACATGGAACGTGGCATGATCGTGCTGCCAAGTGCCAAGTGAATCAACAAACAACAACCAGCCAGGCAGCCAGCCAGGCAGTCAGCGCTCAGCGTGTAAATCACTGAGTGTCAGCAGAGTCAGTCGAGTGTGATTTTCATATGATTTAAGCCAGAAAACAACCCGAAAAAATCGCAAAAAACACAGAGATTTGTGCTGCTGTTGCTGTTGCTGTTGCTGCATATGCTATATAATTTAATTTGGCAAATGTGTTGGAAAATTGTAGAGCAAAGCGAAAAAGCGCAACGCCAACAAATGAGACACTGGGACTGAGAGCCACTGGAGCAAAAGAAAAGGCAACCAACTCCTCAGCATTTACCCCGCCATCAGCAAAGATTGCTGCTACTTACAGCTTAAGCCTAATGGGTTAATGTGGTTCCCCACTTGCTCCCTGCCAGCTGAGTGCTAAGCCAAACATTGTTTTCGTCTCTTTAGTGTGTATAGAGTTGACTATGTAACATAGTAGGCGTGCTACATTCGTTAATTGTATGCATAAAACTTGCCAAACCAAATGTGTGTTCGTGTGTGTGTGCGTGCGTGTGTTGTTGTGTTTTGTGGCACAGCTTTTGCAACAACTTTTTGGGCGCTGCTTCAATTACTGCCAGCCAGCAACAACAGTAATAACAACGAGCCCAAGAACAACAGCACTATTTCCGCTCTAAAATTTGAGCCAAGTTTTGAGCCAGCTGCGCTCGTTCCACCACGTGCGCTTCTTCTCTACTTTTTTTTTATTTTTTGGGGCTGCCACCTGGCCGTCCCGACCTGCAGCACCACCTTGACGCGCCTCGCTATGTTGCCTGTTCACTTAGTAAATAAATTGGCAATCGCATTTAATGTGAGTTTATGTGCGTCGCTGGCAGCCAGGCAGCTAGACGGAAACTGAGTTTGAAACTGAGACTCAGGCTGCCACGTTAGTAGTTTTATACCCATATATTTTTATTTTTATTTTTATTTTTTACGTTGCCTTTTTTGGTGCTTTTTTTAGCGGCTCTTGCTTGCGCTCGTGCTCATGTGCAAATCGTAAATTTACGTTAATGCCGAAATTTCACGTGATAATGACGTGATTACCCAGGCAGCACACAGGCCCAAAATACACACACATACACAAATATATATATACATATATTTATAGAACTACATACACATAGGCTGGCAGTTTTCTGTTGGCTAAATGGCAACACTAAATATTGCGTTCCATTGCACACGCCAAGCCGCGCTCCGCCCTGTTTGGCTGTCAGATTTGGTCGTGGACGCATTGGCTTTGTTGTTCTGTAGCTGTTGTCACAATTTGTGATATTTGTGGCATAAACTAGTGCTAAACATAAATACGCTAAGCAATGCAGTTGCTAGACTAAATTGCCATTCGGGTTGACAATCAACATTTTCATTTGGAATGCGCATTTGCCGCTCTGCTAAATGAAATAAAGGCTTAAATGCATTCAACTTTTGGTGCTGGCAAAACTTGAGGAAATCTGTGGAAAACTTTATTTTCGCGCAATCGCAAAATGTCGCCTCATTCTTTTTGCCGTGCTGCGAACTTTTTAATTACTTTTGAACGACAATTCGAACTTTGCGCCTGTCGCTCTTTTACACTCTAATTACAACCCGTTTATAGCGAACCTGTTTAATTATATTTTTTTATTTATTTTTATTTGACTTTGCGCTGCTTATCAATGAAAACTATTGCAGAGCACCTGCATTAAAGTCACTCGCAGCAGTTGTTGCTATTTTCCACTTTATATATATATATATATATATATATATAAGGCGTTTATATATATATAAGGCGTTTGTACGGCGTTGCCATTTCCGTTTCCGGTGTTACGGCGGCTAGAACGACGCTAGTTTTTTTAGTTTTACCTTGACATTTTTTTCTGCTGCTTTAACTGTTACTTCCCCAGCTTTATGTTGTTGTTGTTCTGCAGCTCTTTGCTTAGTTACCTGCGCGTTTTTTCTTTGCTTTCCTCTGTGTTTTTATGCTTGTTTTGCTTTTTCTTTTTTACATTTTGCAACACAAGTCTAACAATATTTGCTTTTCTGCTCGAGCAAACCGTTCATATCCTTCACAGCTTTTGTTGGCCGGGTCCTTCCACTTTGCATTCCTTCGTCTGGCTACGAATGAATCATGAATCATTTCTGCTGCACCTACTTCAGCGTGTGCGATTGTTAGTTAGGTTTAATGCAGCTTTGTGACTACCCACCTTGCACTCCTGTTCGCTCTCCTATTTCTCCTTGCTAAGCAGATTTAACAAAGCAATATGTAGATAAGTCGCCCCACAATGAATTCCATTTGCAGCTCTACTCGTTTTTCACCTCCGATCGATGGGCTGCTCGCAAGCAAATGATGTCATTGCAAAACTACTGCCAGCTTAAAGTTGATTCCGGCACCTGCAAATTGCGCTTTGTTAAACAGTTTAAATAATTGCGACCACAATAAATTATTAAATCAACAACAATTACTCAAGCGATCAATCGGCAATGATATAATCAATCAATGCGCGCACCCAGACGCCCAGACTGTGGTTTGTCAGCCCTCAGTTTCCCCACAATGTCCTCATGAAGGTGTGCAAAGTGGGTGGATGTGTATTATAATGCTTTTCATGACTGCAATTATGTGCGCCGCCACCTCCAGCACTTTATTAATACGTATACGCATACCCAGCGTGGCCCAGCTACAAGCCACACGGCATTTGGGCTCAAGTGGCTGAGTTCAACTGCAGGAGGGACAGAAGTTGCCTCGTAACTGTTCTATATGTATATTGTGTGTGTGCCTGTGTGTCTGTGTGAGTCATGTGGGTAACGTGTTTCGAGTTCGAGTGCTTCGTAATCGATATTACAATGTATGAATTGTGCGGCCATATTGACGCCACTAAGCGCATTGTATTGGATACTCGTTGCTGCCTTTTTATCGTCGCTTGCATCACTTACAATGGAGGCAGCACGCAGGTGGTATACGAGTCCTGCTATTTGGCATGTGCCAGCTAGCAGGACGCGGGCAGTGGGTTACGGATAGACGGCAGCAGGCCTTGCCAACAGTTTGCACAGCAAAGTTCCTGAAAAGTTGCTGACTATGCATAATGCTGAACATAGAGCGCTTGTAATTTGTGTCCCTGCCCCCGAATGCTTTATGAACTGCAGACAACTGAGACTCGCATAGTTCAATTTCCAAGTCTAAGCGATTTATTTGGAGTGTAGACGATTCTATACACTGCGAGATATATGCATTAAATTTATTTTTTGAAGACCTAGCGACAAATGAACTCAAACGATCGTGTAAAAGAAAAAATTGATTCTTGAGAAACTGATAAATCTCAAAATCGACTAATGCATTTAGCATTTAGATTGTCAGATCTAAGTAGTTAGCAGTGTTAGACTTAAATATATTCAAATGTTGCTCATCATTTAGCTAGCGTGTTGTTCGTGCTGAAGCACATACTATTTTCACAGTTGCAGCCAATGTCAGTTATTTGGATATTTATGTGATTTGTGCTGTTACTTTTTCCGCCAGCTGTCCAACTGTCGCGTTGTCTCTTTAGTCTCATGACCGGGAAAAAATAACAAAATATGACAAAACAAAATGAACTAAAAATTTAAGCAAAATGAAGCTCAGCAAGTCAGATTTTCCATTTGTCTGATTCTCTTGTCAGTTGTCATTTTCTATGAATACATTACACATATATACTATATATGTATGGGCACAGCGAATATCTATGTATGTGTGTGTGTTTCACGTTTGAGCTGCACCGCTGCCATCAGTTTTATTTGAGTTCTGTAGCAACAGCAGCTCCCTTTTCGAATTACACGCTTCAATGTTTTTGTAAAATGTGTAAATGAACTCACAATAAGAAAAAGAAACACACACAGTCAAATGTATGTGCACATGTGTGTGAATGAAATAATATAAAATATGCACCCGAAATAGTTCATATAAGGCTCCTACCTGGCAGATATCAGGTGTCAAACTAAATAATAAATACAATATCTTATTATTAAATTAAAAAAAATGAGTTTGGTGGGTCTGTGAAAGGTTTTGATGAGTTTTAATAAGCAATAATTGAATATCCATTTAATGCTCTCATAACTAGGGTAAAGTCGATTGCGTTGACATTTTATGCTATTGATATTATAATTGGGGCTCAGGAGTGTTAATTGATAGTTCAATTAGCCGTGATTCGCCATTTATCCAGTTAATTAATTGGCCATTACACTTTTGTCGCAATCTGCCTAGTTGGGTACTTCAGAAGAAGCTGCAGTTGCAGTAACCAACCATTTGATGGTGGCAAAGTGAGTGGCAGGGTCCAGACTAGACAGTACTTTGGCTATTAGTTGATTTGTGGCAGTCATGAATTCATTCAAACTCATATTAATTCACTCATTCATTCATGGCGAATGGAATTTAGTCAGACAGCCGCTTAGACAAGGGTATTACATTTATTCGCCTCTCTCACTCTCTCTCTCTCTATCGCCGTGTGTCTGTCTCTCCCATCCAACGCATCCACTTGGTCAGTGGCATTCAATACTGCACTCATTTATTCATACGTGCGCTTATTGCAATGTTCATTGCTTTATATTCATTACGGCAATGGCACTCGTTGCGTTCGGACAGCCAGGACAGGGAACAGGAGTCTTGGCAGGAGCAACGCTTCAGACTGCTTTTGTATGGTCGTGTGTGCGTCCGATACGTTCGATAATCCAATAAATATTTATGAAGCACTTTATTGGAACAACACTGAATTACTTTATATATGTACATGTATTGCTGGGACTGTGTTTGTATGCGTGTAGTAGCATCGTGTCAAGACGAAACATGAACGAAAAACTGTATGAAATTTGGAGAAGCTTCGCTCGCTGCTCGCATATTCCTCATACGCACCGTCGGACCGATGCAGCCAACAGTTTGATGCGGTCTGTTTGGCCAGACTGTGTGCTTCACTGGACTTTTAGTTATTTTACTTATATTTAAAACTATTTTGTTTTATTTTAAAAATTGTTTTCAGTTGGCTGTTAACTCAAATGCAAATTGCTTGTCTGTCCAAAAGCGAGAGGGTGAGAGGACGCATATGTGTACGTGTTTCTGCCTTAATTATGAACGAATTGATTTTGTAGCAAAGTGCAGCAGTTTGTTGACCCAATCAGTTGATAAATGGTAAATGGCTTAAACACCTGACACCTGCCTGTCCCCGCAACTTAATGCACTAGCAGACTGCACTGCTAGCCAACCTATTTACTCACACGTCAGTGGGCAATTTGCATTATTAATGCGTGGCCGCTGCTGAAATGGAATTGTATGAGGCTTATTTATTAGCGTTTACTACGTCAGGTAACCGCCAAATCCACCCATTCATCTCACTGTTGTGTCACGTAATCAACAATTTACGACATTGCACATAGAGCGAATCGCTGTTTCCGTATGTAAGTGCATTTGGATCCAGCAATAGATGCTGAGTATACATATCATTTTAAAAATTTCACATAAATTTTAATTAAATTAACAAAAGTGATGCATGTGTATCACTAGCTGAGTTCCAGCTAAACTCTTCTTCAGAGAAACATTAAATAAATATCTGTGTTTACTATAAGAGTTCAAAGTGTTTATTCCAAGCTTAAATTGCAAAATTTAGATTCTGTATGAAAGGGAAAATATGGTTGACATTCACTTATACAAAGGCCAAATTCCTTCTCAGCTCTCACTATTTACTTCCCTATTTACTCTGTACATCTCCACTTAACAGCTGCATTTAAGTTTGCTTAAATCATTTGTACAATAAAATGAAGCAAATTGAAACATATGTATTTTAATAAGCAATTATTAAAACATTGCCGGCAAATAAACAATGAGTGTGTGGCGGTAAATGCTGTTAACCAAATGTAAACACAAATAATGCATGGTAAAAAATTGAAAATCAATGCAATTGCAGACGTTAAACAACACGAACAGCGGCAACAACAATAGCCGAGAGTAGCCTGAACAATAACAGAAAACATGATTGATGGACGAGTCTGACGGTTTGGGGCTCTGCTTGTGAGGTGGGTGGCCCGCACCACTGTGGGCCGCCATGGCCGTGGTGCAGCACTACAAATTATTGACCAAATTTTCATGCAGACACACCGCAAAAATGAGCGCAAGAGCGGACAACTGATGGGCGGCAGGATAGGGGTACATAACTGGGTCAATTTGATATGTAGTTGTCGCAGCAACTCCTGACGTCCGCCTCGTTGTAACATTCGGCAATGGGGCAACAACAAACGAGTAGCGGCAGGTGGCAGGTGGCAGGCGACTTGCAGTTGATGGTGGGCGGGGCGCTCGAATGAATGTCAATGCATAAAATTTATTCTGTGATGTTAGCAACTATTTTTCTTGGCCGAGGCAACAGACAAATAAATTGCAAGGCATGCAATAAGACGAACCGAAATGTGTGTCTAAGTGCCGTCTGTCTGTGTCTCTTCCTCCATGTGTGTGTGCGTTGTGTACTCGTATGCAAATAAAATTGTACATGAAATTGACTTTGGGAGTATGTGTGTGTGTGTGTGAGTGTGTGTAGTTGGTGCAACCGTAAACCGAAACATGACTTTGACTAACGTTGCTGCTGCATGTAAATGGGCACCACGCCGCATGCCACACGTTTGCCAGTAATCATCCATTATCCTAATGCCAAGCATGTCCCTGCCCAGTACAACCCAAGCCCCAAGAGAGTGACCATGGATGTGTGTGTGTGAGTGAGTGGGTGTGTGTGGGTCGTGGGTCGTCTATTGGATTATGCTACAACCTGCAGAACCTTCAAGCCAGGCAGTGGGACTAGAGACTACTGCTAGAGTTGGCCTGACCTGGTCGCCTTCCTGCGACATTTATTAATGATGCGACCGAAATTCTTAGCACACACACACACACAAATACAAATACAGCCATATATATATATATATACTTACACAAATAGACGCACATTTTCAGAGGCAACCTAAAAACGATTTGCGTAATCGCAGCTCGAAATCATATTAATTGGCCCATGCCTCTTGGCATTTGCTCAAATCGATAATGAAAAGTTCAAACTGTAAAATCCAAAAGGTTATTGCTGTTTTCAACTCGAGTGCTTCGGCTTTGTTGTGGACCGCCCCCACGAATATCAACAGCCATGCAATTAAAATGGTTTATTTAGTTTAGAGTTCTATCGATTGACTTATATTTGTCAGCTGCTCTAATTCACACACTCGCCCACACACACACAGTCTAATCATAGCTCCTGTAATCGATACTCGTAAAATTGGGCCATAAAATGGCAAAATACTCGGAACCCAGAAGAGTCAAATATATGCGTATGGACTTTCAACTGACAGAAAAGCTATTCAGCGTGAGATTCATGAGTGATTCGAAGCGGATTAAACGCTGTGAGCCACATGAATTACAGATTTCACCAGCGGCTGTATCGAGGCTTACAGATTTCAATTTGAATTTCTTTAAATACAGCGACACAAACGACACAAAAGTAATCAAGCAATTTCCACGTTGCGTATACGCCACATAAGTCTGCTTGGTGAAGGGGGTTTTGCTGTCTGTCTGCCTTATAATTGTGATGTGTATTTCCATTAAAGTAAGCAGATGCAATAAACGACATACAGGCTAAGATACTGACTGAGACTGGCAGGTGGATGCCAGCACTTGACAGCAATCGGACAAGGTCACAGAGAAACACGATCGGATGAGCCGACTCATTGCAACTTTCAGAAACAATAAAGCTCGCACTGCATAATATATGAGACAGATTTTCCGACCCCTTGACAGACAGCCAGAAACATTGCCTGCCAGTAACTCGTGTTCAACAATCTTACAGTGACTGTTGATGTTGTTGTTGTTATCAAAAAGTACGCACAATTCACTTTAATTTCAGAGGCGACTCACAGCCAAATACTGACAGCAGCAGCAGCTGAAGTACGCAAATATTTTTGTTTTACTTGGAGATTATTACGAATTCATTAGAGTTTGCGAATGTAATTAAATCCCTTTGAAAAGTGTCATTACCTAAGCCAAAGTCAACATATAAGCTCCTAAGAGTCCTAAATAAAATGTTCTGAATCTGTAGTTGCTCAGCTAGAATTATGCAGTTATTAAAATGATTTCCAGTTTTTTTATTATTTCACATTTCGTCTTTAAATACTTTAAATACTTAAAGAAGAGTTAAGTATAACGAAAATTGATTAATTGATTGAATTGAATTGAAGAAGTGTTTACAATTCTCTCAAATGTTTTAGTCTCATGTTGAAGTCCTAATTTGCCTAAATAAGCTACAATTAAAGCAGCATCAATTAAAGACGCACATTGTATGTAACTGAAATATGCTTTTATTATATTTAAAATAATAAATGCCATGAACATAATAAAATTATGTAATTTAAGGTCATTAATTGTTTGTTGTAATGCAATTGTGAGTCGTCAAATTGCATTTGTAATGCACAGACGACAATTGTTACTGAAGTAAGCTCCAGAACAAGTCATATTCACGCGGGAGTTGCCGTCGTTGTTCGGGGGGGCAGCGGCTGTTTGGCAGACCACACTTAATTACATAAAAGTCAGTGCAATCTGAGCTTCCCAAGTCTGTTGCAATTTGTCGGCAGTCAGTCAACGAGAATGCAACATTCATGAGACGTTGACAGAGGCCTAATTAGATCTACCAACTACAAACTACAAGCGACATGAAACACCTTAGTAAATTATATGGAAAATGCACTTAAGTAGCTTCCTGTGGCATGGAGAATGGAATTGTACTTCTGTTGTGTGTGTGTGTCAATGTGCGAGTGTGCTTGTGGCAGAGTTGATTTGTCTGCTTTGTGTCTTTATTAGTATTGAATTTTCAACTGAAGAATTTCAATTTAAATTGCCTTTTGGCCAGCATGTGAATGGCATGCGGTTGGGCATTTTATCTTTGCACCAAAAACTTGCCCAAGTCAATACAATGTCTCATGCAGAGCTAATTCTCTGTCTGACACTGGCTGCATACAATTTGTGGTATATTTATTGGCTTGTTTGGTCAGTTACATACACACACCCACACACACATTCAGAGACAGCTGAACTACAAGCACAGAGAGAGCATGGCAGAACTATTTAAATTTACAGCTGGAGCTCGAATTGTTGGGCTGTTAAGCCGACCAGACTCAAAGCATGACCATTGACACACTTATTTGCACAGCTGCTGAGTGGAGTTTAGTTTGTGTTGGCCAATTTTCCAGCTGGATCAAATATATATATATATATATATTTTAATATGCTTATAACGTTTTAGCAACAAATTTGCTGGCCACAACGAACAGAGCTCTGGCAATGACTTTCAGTTCAGGTGCTGCAGCCTTGCATTAACTTATGCAACAACTTGCAACTTGCAACTTTAAATAAATACATTTTCAGTGCGATCCAAAAGTCGAGCCAAAGGTGGTGGCTGCTGCAGCTGGGCAGAGGCAGAGGCAGGCACACGTAACAATTTGTGAAGCAAACATGGCTTTATTTTAGTTTCAATTTTTACTTCGTTATTTTTTCATGAACATACACAGTTACATATATATATATATATACTCTTACACACACTGTGTTTGTTTTAGAACACGCCGCTTGTTGTCTTTGGCAGCCTCCTCTTCGTCATCGTCCTTTTGCCGCCATTTTACGCTCGTTATGGCAACACTTTTGGCTCAAAAGCAAACGACGCTGACGCTGACAACGTGCACAACTCAAACGGCCGACGCGCTGCAAAATGTAAAAAAAAACGCAAGAATAAAAAACTAAAAAAAAAATGTTATTGCGTGGTGTGCGGCTCGTTATGTTCCATGAGGCAGCATAGACAGGCAGCAGCAACAGCAGCAGTAGCGAAAAAATCATTTCAAGCAGAAACAACAAGGGAAATGCAGAAAACGCCTTCGCGCCTTGCAGTTTCCTTCCTCTCAACTATGTGCTGTTAATGTATGTGTGTGTGTGCGTGTGTGTGCATGTGTGTGTGTCACTGTATTTGACTACGTTCGCTTCGTTGACTAGCAACTTTCGTCGCCTGTGCACTCGCGCCCGCTGGTGATTGACTGCAACATGTCTGTATCTGTATGTTCATCGCTGTTTGTTGTCAACGTTGTTGTTGTTGTTGTCGTTGTTGTTTGGCAATAATTTTTTAACGCTCTAGCAGACGCACGCGGCATTTGCCTGCTGTCTGTCCGTCCCTGCGCTGTCGCCTGTTTGTTTACATGATTGTGCACAGAAGTGTTTGCTTTCCCCTGCTGACGATTTCCGGCACTTGTGAGTGCATTAGCGCTTGGCAGGCGGGAGGAGTTGGCATTTTCCTTTGAGCCAAATCACAGCAAATTATATTTTTATTGATTCTGTCAACATTTGCTAGCGATTTCTTCGATAAAAAGCGCAGCAAACTGAATTAATTTAAGTGAGTTGAGCTTGAACGCAGTTGCATATTGCGTATACGCCATGGTCCCCGATCCTAGTTACATTGCCCAGTCAGCTGACTGGGCCGACAACAGCAGCAACAATTTTAAAACGTTGGTACAACACAAAAACCGCAGTAAGTCGCGACAACAGTAACAGCAACAGCAACAGCAACAGCAACAGAAGCAACAACAACTTTTCGCATTCGCTAAAACTTTTCAACATTTCTTGTTAGTTGTTGCCGTTGTCGTTGTCGTTGTCGTTGTTTTTGTTGCTGTTATTGTGGTTGTAGCGATTGCTGCTACTTTGGCTGCATTGCCATAGACCCAGTGAGCAAATTGTAAATGAAAAAGTTTTTTATGTTATTCAGCGTTTGCTGTGGGCGACTCTTCCATCATGGCGCCCTTCCCTCTATCTCCTACTGCCCCGCTGTCTCTGGAGCCTCGTGCTGTGTGTGTGCGTTTCCGTTTTAAGGCCGCCTATGGATACGAGTATTTGTGTTGTTGTCCTTATTGCTGCATTATGTCTATTGTTGTCTATAGAAGTTTTGTCGAAAGTAATTGTAAATGCTGTTCATAGTCGGTCTGTCTGCCTGCCTGGCTGGCTGGCTGGCTGCCTGTCGCTCTATCTCGTTCTGGTTGCTGTCTATTTCAAGATATTTTCGTTTTCAACAATTTAGACAATGCTTTAAAGTCAATGGAAAAAAAAACAGAAAACGAACCTTGAAATATTCATTTTTTATGCTTTCCATTTTATGGCGATCTCTTGATTACACAACATAGTAAAATATATTGTAAGCAGGTGTAATACAAAGCGTTTTTATGTTAAGCACTGTGCAAACTAAAGCAAAACAATATACATAATGAAGCGAGCTCAGTTCTGGATTAAGTCAATGTTGTCAGCAGCAACAGCTACAGCAGCAGCAAAAATTGCAACAATAATGCCATTGCTGACACAAATGGAACATTAAAAGCACTCATACATTTACAAACAGATGTTTATAAAGTGCGAAGGGATTCGCGAGCAACAAAATTAAAGGAAGAACACAAAGTGTTGGCAAAAGTAGGAGAAATATTAAAATCAGCAACCTGTCGGGCGCAACGCCTGCGTCTCCAGCACCGTCCACGGGAACAAAGCGAGACCCGACAAACCGGCCAACATGACCCGCTTTCGCATAAAAAATCTAAAAATTCTGTCTTGCTGCCTCAGTGTTTGGGTCACGCTCTTTGGCGGCGCCCTTCATCTGGCACGCTGCAGTGAATTTCCGGAGCGCGAATGCTGCGATTTGACAACCACCTCGACAGTGGGCCCGCTGCCATTGCCGCCGCCGGCCCTGCCCACCGACAAGTCGTTATCCTCGGCCACAACTGCAGTGGAGACAGACCTGAATCTAACCATTGGCCGTTCGGGTAAGTAAAGCCAAAGCCAAAGCCAAAGCCAAAGCTTGGGGTGAACTTAAATTGTATGAATCGCGAATGCCTCTAGCACTCTTTGATGTCAACTAACATGACAGAAATTAATAAGCATATTAAATAATTAATTATTTCAGATTTATTGTGAGCTTACCTAATTAATTAAACTGCAAACTTAAAGCTATTTGTGTTATGCTTCGATTTCATTTTCAAAGCTGAGTCTTGGACACCTTTGCTATTTACAGTGGGTATATCTAAATATATATTAGTTGCAGCTAAGTGAATGCAGTATTGGTTAACAACACTTAACGCTTCACTGGCTGCACAAGCAGCCTGCGCCCACATGTGGCTATGCACAGGCTATACGTATGTATCGGGTGGAACGGAGATAGCGACAGTTGCCATCACTTACGCTCCAATTAACACAATGACCTTTCAAACCAGCGACGGGAATTAGTTAAGAGCAGCTGGATAAAGAATCGGGTCGGGGACAAGTTTTCCTGCAAGAGGTTTGACATGCACTGAATACCATTTCGAAGGAGCGGTTCGGATTGACTGCATGGCTGTCTGAGTCGACTCGGAGTCTCTGAACTATTTGAAATGCAAAGCAAACGTCAGCTGTAAAACAATTTTTATTCACTTTGAATTGAGGTTTTGTTTTGTATTTTATTCTGTTGCAGACAGCACGGAGGTGTGTATGTGTGGGTGTGTCTCTCTGCGTCTATGTGTGCATGTGTTTGTGTGAATAAGTTTGTTATCTTGGCACGGCAGCTTGACTTGTTTTAAATGTTTGCTGAGCGTTGCTACGTGCCGTAAACAGGAATAGATATAGCGAACAACAGCAATTCTTTTTTTGAGAATTGGCCACGGGGACACAGTAAATAAACATGCCACTCCATTGGGTTTGTTGCACTTGCTGGAACATTTGTGTGGCATTGTGGGATTGAAAATGAATTCTAAGCGGCTAACGAGCTTTTCATGTCCATCGAGACTTCAACGAAAAAATAAAAAAGTAAAAGCCAAACAACCATCGAAATTCAAATTAAAAATTCATCTTGAAAATCATCGATAATAACTGGTCAACTACACACACACACATAACGAATAGCTATGTATTGGCATGGAGTTGGCCCTTGCCTCTTCCTTGTTCCCTTTTCAATTTACCATCTCCGCTCAACCTATGATCCCCCAAATTACCCCTCTCTGCTCAACCAAAGGCTATCCATTTATCCATGCCAAATGGCAAACTGTAAAAGTTTGGCTAAAGTGCATAAAATTCTGAGACGCAAAAAGGAAATGAAACTTCAAAAAAAAAACTGGAAAAAAACAAAAACAAAATGGACGCAAATGGAATTGTGAATATTTTATTGAGTGGCCACTGTTAATGGGGCTTTCATTGCATTTTCGTATACATTTAAATGTCAAATTAGCAACAAATTAAAAATGCCAGTTGCCTGCAAGTTGAATGAGTCTACAACCTGCCTATCATTCAAAAGAAACTTCGAGCGCAATAACCTCTCTTACACAGACAGAGGGAGAGAGAGTGGAAGTGGTAGGAGGTGACACGCAATGGCAGCGGCTGGCCATATAATTGAGTTTATTAAATAATCATAAATATCGATTCGATTCGTTACGTTGCGTTTGGGGCTCGAGCTCAGTTTGCTCGGGCCGCTTCGATGCGGTACGCGATGTCGCTATAAAAATATCAAATGGTCATCAGAAATGCAAAATGCTTGCAACTAGTGGGCTACAAATACATGTGATTGATTGACTGATGGATTGATTGATTGATTGGGACCAGGCCAAACGGACACTGGCCAATTAAATTTGCTGGCAAAATTAGTCATTAAAAAATGAACTCAATGCTCGGCCCGAAGACGTTGTTGGACAGGCACTATAAAATCGATTGGTTTTAGCCGGTAAGAAAATTGCCAAAGCCGTAAAAGGACACACACACACAACAATTACTTTACACACAAGCACACAGCCACACACCCTTGCAGAGAGCGGGCGACATACATAACAATTTGCAATGAGGTTGACGTTGAGGGACATAAAAATTTCCGTATGCCTTTTTATCGACATATGGCATAGTGTACAACAACGTAGTCCGGCTAAGTCCTTGGTCCTGTCACATGACAAGCTCAACGACGACGTAGACGACGTCTACAACGTTGAGTACGTCTTGCAGTTTATAGCATTTAGATTGAGTTTGCACACATGTACATGTATGACTAGCTTGGATTCACATTCGCATTCGTATTCGCATTCGCATTCGCATTTGAATTGGAATTTCTTTTAGTGGCCAAGAAAAGGAGCCTTTGACCCCAAGTGTTTGCCTGTGCTTCTTGTGACAGTCGAACTATGCATGACATATGTACAGGTCTGCATGATTTTAATCAGAATAAAATTTTCATTCTACGTTTGCACTTGTCCACTTGGCTCGATGCAAAATTGATCGAGGGATTGTGGCAGGGGCTAGAATAAACTTATGCTTAATTTTTTCCTCATATCCTTTTGTCAGTCTCATCTTTGAGTATTTGTCTTGTGATATTTATCTAAGAATTTCTCATTTTTTTTCACTTACATTTGAGTTCATCTTAAAGTGTTCGTTAGCGGATAAGTCGCATCAGTTTTAAACTTTTCAGACACACTGACTTGTGTGGAGTCTCCACGCACAATGCTCTTATGTTATTTCAGCTTAATTATATTGCAACACCCGGTCAGACTCTCCAACACACTCTCCCGCCACTGCAAGTCCTGGACAGATGTGTGTACACAACGCGCACAGGTGCTAGAAGGTCCGTGTTACAGGGATGCTTTATGTACTGCTCCTGATCTGCGCACGTGTGTGTGTGAGTGGGGGTATTTGTGTGTGTATGTGAATTAGTTATGAAGCCAAAGTCAAACTGGGTCAGCATTTCTTGCCCCTGCATTGGTGAACTCTGCGCCCACTCCTTCGCTCCACTCGTTGCCACACGTTTGGTGCACCACTGAATGTTGCCATATATTTGTGCTGCGCGTATGCCACTTTCGCGTTATTGCGTATACGTGCCGTTGGCCATGCGCTCATCGCATGCCATTTTCTCAGGCAGTGTCAATAGTTGAGCATTGTGCGTTTATAGCTGTTAAAATTGTAATTAAATTCAATGCGACGCTTCACAAAGAAAAAGTAAATGTAAATTTTATGCCACATGTGTGTCCATACGAATGTGCCACATTTGGCTGAGCACAAATGCAGCAGCGGCCGCTGTAGCAGAACGTAATATTTCAATTTGTAGCGCACTCGAGCCAAGATACATATAAGGCAGCAAAGTAGAAGAGCTGAGCACTTAACCTTCGGCTACTGTTGATGGTGATGCTGTTGAATCACATGGGCCTGACCTTCATCAAATGTAGAAAAGGTAAAAGCAGACACTTAACCCAAGCTCGTAACTCGTAGCTGCTGCCGTGTTCTTTCGATGGTTGCCAGGCAAATTAAAAATTCAGCACAAGACAAAGAGCTGCAGCGATGCCAATGACTGCTAGCAGTAGCCGCAGCCGCAGCCGCAGCCTCAGCCAGAGACGAAGTGGGAGATGAAGACGGAGCCACATTTACAGTCGTAGCCACAGTCAGCAAGCAGTAGCACCACGAAAACTGTGGGGCAACCGCTGCTTATGGGTCTCTAGCTGTCTCGATTTCGCTTCAAATGAGAAAAAATGCGCCAAGCGAAGCGCGCAAAAGGTAAATTAAAAATTGTGTGTGTTTATTTGCACAAAATTCCAGCGCAGCAAAAGGCAAAATACCTGCCACCAAGCAGCGGGTGGCATGCCCGAGGTAACTAGCTCGCTTGCCACAGCTGCCAGTTGCCAGTTGCCAGTTGCCAGTTGCCAGTTGCCACTTTAAAGCCAGCTGCCAGTTTCGAAGCAGCTTTAAATTTAACAGCACGCAGCGACGACGTGTCAGCGGCGAAAGTCAAGGTTGCTAATTAAGTGCTATATTTTTATTCTTATTTCTTTATAAATATGCATACTAAAACATACATATGTAAACATATATTATTATTTTTCTTTTGGGTTAAACACGTATATCGGCGTAGAGGTGACTACCACAGATTTCGTCTGCTGTGCATCACATTAAGCGAGCTTAAAAGTGCTTTATGCGTGCGTGTCTGTCTGTCTGCATGTATGTGTGTGTCTGTGTGTGTATGTGTGTTTTCGTGTGTCGTTTTAAGTCCTGAGCTTAGCATCAATTTTTGAGGGATTTATGGTTTTTATTTGGCCACCAAAGTGCGTTGTGGTCGTGTTTTGTGGCACATATGTAATCACGTCGCCACTCGGGCAGGCAACGGCGTGTAAGCTGTAACCCGTAAGCACATTTCGTTTAATTAAAAAAGGCGCCAGCAAAGTGTAACTGGTGTGCACTGTAAAATAATTGCACATCTCGCATCGCCAAATAAATCAGGAGTCAACATTTTAAAGCGCTCAGTGGCAAGCAGCATATTTATGGACTACACATATGAAGAGCACAGCGCACATCATCTATCAAAATTCACTTTTCATAGCAGACGGCAGTTAGGCTAGGCAGTACTCAGCTGTCTGGCACACTGTCAGATAGTCTGGTAGTCTGGCAGTCTGACAGCCTGACAGTCTAACAGTTTGGCATCAATTTTAACCCGCACGTAGTCGCAATTTTAATATAATGGCAGGCTAAGCATAGGCCGACCCTCTTGTCGCCTCTTGGCGCCTCTTGTTACAAGGCATATCAACGACCTAGTAAGCATCTTTATATAATTTCATGAGGCTGTCATCCCTCCCCTTCACACACACACTTACAGAGAAGACACCTGGCGATCGCTGGCAGAGCGCACTTTGCGTAAATTTGTTATGCATATAAAATTAAAAGCATATTTTGAGGCGGCAAACGGCAAGGCAACGAGTTTACTTTAGATTGTTGCTGCTGCTGTTGTTGATATTTGTAATTTGTACTTCTTTTAACTGCCAGCAACAGCAGAGGC